AAAAACAAACGGGGGAGTTTTGGCGGGAAATTGACCGGCGGCGGTTTGCTGCTCCTGTATTATTGTTTAAATAATGGTTTGAAGTGGACTTTGATATGTAAAAGTGTTGCGATTTTGTGTATTAAGCGTCTACGCATGTGAACTATTAGTGGAAACAGTGAAACAAGTGCTCTGATGGTGATGGATTCTCAAGATAAGCTGTTTGTTTGCATAGGCACCTTTAGATACCATCGCCAACTATCAGCTGTCTGCTGGATCAAGTTGCCGCCAAAATCTCCCAAGAACTGCACAATGTGACGCATCAACATATTGTGAAGCAGTTTACTATGAAGGAGTGGGGAAATTACAATAAACCGAATAAAAATACTTAAGACTTGGCCTAAAGGTCTAGATACCAGGCCATAAACTCCAAAAAAAAACGGAGTTTTGGCGGGAACTTGACCGGCGGCGGTTTGCTGCTCCTGTATTACATAAAAATAGTTTGAAGTGGATTTGCTATATAAAAGTGGTGCGATTTTGTGTATTAAGTGTCTGCGCATGTGAACTATTAGTGGAAACGGTGAAACAAGTTCTCTGATGGTGATGTGATTCTCAAGATAAAGTGTCTGTCTGCTTGGGCACCTTGAGATACGTGGTCCTTCCCCGGTCGAGCCGACCCATTCGTGTTACTACAAACATAGCTGCAGCGTGACTACCACGTAAAATCAAGCTGACATAAACTTGAGAAAATCCAGTTTTGGTCAATGTTGGTTGCTATTTTTTTTAATTAAATATAAGACTTAATCTTATCTAAACAAAGCTTAAATTTTATTATTTACACAAGTTTAGGTTTTTGATCAAAAAATAGGGTTTTACCTGGTTAAGATAAGATTAAGTAATAATTTTGTCTTCCTCCAGTTCTTAGGCAAAAGCCAAGGTTATTGATTAAAAACCTGATTATACCATAATATACATTTTTTTTATTAAAACGAGCACACAGTCCACCTGATGGTAAGTGGTTACTGCGACCCATAGACATCTACATCTACCCTCAATAAAGAATCAAAATGCAGCTGCGTTGTCACCCGTGAGGACGGGTCAAAGAAAGGGTCACCGGTTCTCTACACTCACCATACGAAACAGCAGTGTTAAGCTGCTATTTTACGCTAGTATTCTGTGAAAGCGTGGTCCTTTCCTGGTCGAGCCGACCCATTCGTGCTACAACTATACTACTATATAGCTGCAGCGTGGCCCTACGTACGAGCGCACGTTGTTCAAACGAAGCGTTATTCTTTTTACTTGGATTTTATAAAATAGTCATCGATATGCTAATTTTAGAAAAGGACCAATTATCCAGGCAAAATTCAAAGTATTGTTTGCGTGGGAAATAGTTTTAAAATTAGAATTCATCATCTTCATTACAGCCTTTCACAAGTCCACTGCTGAACATAGGCCTACCCCAAGGAATACCACAAAGCACGGTCCTGAGCCACCTGCATCCATCGACTTCCTGCATGTCTTACCAGGTCGTCACTCCATCTCGTGGGGGGTCGCCCTACACTTCGCCTACCGGTACGAGGCTGCCACTCAAGAACCTTTCTTCCCCATCGGTTGTCGGTTCTTCGAGCTATATGGCCGGCCCATTGCCACTTCAGCATACTAATCTATTGGGCTATATCGATTACTCTGGTTCTACTGTGAATATCCTTCTTTCTAAGTTTATCACGCAGAGAAACCCCGAGCATAGCCCTCTCCATAGCTCACTGAGCGACCTTGAGCAAGGAACATACTACTCTCTAGCGAGAAAACCTTGAGCTTCCTCATACAGCCAGCAGTGAAGGACCACGTCTCAGATCCGTAAGTCATCACTGGCAACACGCACTGGTTGTACAATTTCGTTTTAAGGTTTTGAGGTATGTCTGACGAGAAGATGTGTCGTTGTTTCCCGAACGCTGCCCACCGAGTTGAATCCGTCGATTGACCTCTCGGTCGAAGTTGAACTTACCTAGTCGGACTATTTGTCCCAGGTAAACATACTCTTCAACAACTTCGAGCTTAGTGTTCCCAACAACTACCAGCATAGGTGTGACATGGACGTTAAACATGATTTTTGTTTTGTCCATGTTCATCTTAAGACCTATCCGTTGGAGACACTATTGAGGTCATTGAGCATAGTGCTTAGGTCCTCCAGCGATTCTGCCATAAGAACTATATCGTCGGCAAATGGAAGGTGAGTGATGTACTCGTCATTGATGTTGATACCGCATCCTTTCCAGTCCAGCAGCTTGAAACTTCTTCCAATGCAGCGGTGAAGAGTTTCGGGGATATATCGTCACCCTGTCTTACACCTCTCTGCAGTTGGATAGGTTTCGTACTCTGATTCTGTACTCGGATAGCCATCGTTGCTCTACTGTACAAACACTTCAGAACTTCGATATACCGACAGTCAACTTGGCACCGCTGAAGGGACTGCAGCACCGCCCAAATTTCGACAGAATCAAAGGCTTTCTCATAGTCCACATACGCAAGGCAGAGTGGCAGATTATACTCATCTGTCTTCTGTATAATTTGCCGAAGGGTGTCTATGGTATTAAAGCCTTTTCGGAAACCAGCTTGTTCGGGAGGCTGGAAGTCGTCAAGTCTGCGCGCGAGACGATTCGTAATGACTCTCGAAAACAGCACGTAGACGCCGCTCAGAAGGGAAATCGGTCTGTAGCTCTTCAAGAGAGCGTTGTCGTCTTTCTTGAAGAACAAGACCACCGCACTTCTGCTCCACGCGAGTAGTGCCATCATGGAGGACGGAATTAAAGAGCTTCTGAAGGACTTCAAGTACCGGTTTTCCACCCACATTCAAAAGCTCCGCTGTAATTCCGTCCTCGCCCGGGGACTTCTGTTTTTAAGGTGCTGGAGAGCCATTCTAATCTCGCTCAGACTGACGTCCGGGAGATCTTCGGAATAGTGTAGTGAAGGAATTTGAATTAGCTGGCTTAAATTTACACACACACTCGTCACTTCAATAGGTGATCCATAAATAAAGGTAAATTAAATCTCTAATTACATAAAATAAAAAACAACGATATCAACAAATTATTTTAATCTACTAATAAACAACTACCTCCTCATACACAAACAACAGAATTACACATACACACGCCATATTTGGAATAATCAATATGCTTTGTTCCGGATCGGGTTGGGACATTTTTATTAAAAAAAATATTTCTTTATTTGAATACCTTAACCTTACCTAATCTAAAATGCCAATGCAAAGAAATAGTAGATTTATAATTATTTCTAAATTCCCACAAAATAAGAAAAGTGAAAATAATGATATTCTGATAGAAAAGAAGCAAACTTTTTTTTTCTTTCTGCTAATTAAATGTTGTTTTTTTTATTTGTTTATTAATTTGTTACGAACGGATTCTGCCAGTTTCAAGTATTTCATGGAAGGCACATAAGGCTACGAAAATATTTGTGCATCCATTACAGCCATTAAGTCCTCCAACGAATATAGACCTTGCCCTAATAGCCCGTTTATACTCTCGCGCGAGCGGCGAGGCGAGCCACGAGGTGCGAGTGTAAACCCTCACGAGGCAAAGAGCCTCGCGAGGGACGCGAGCGTGCTGGTTTACACTCGCGCTCTCGTTTCAGTTTGTTTACGGCGCCCTTACATAGTAACATTCGAATTGATTTTGTTTTAAAATTACAATTTTAACAAAATACTATTATTTAATCTTGCACAATAGGTGTACTAGCAATTTATATAAAATTATGAAACTGAAAAGGTTCTGCTTCGATGAATAGATATCATCCACCATATTCTTTCTCAACGAGGTATTTTTTTTTTTTAATTTCCTAAGGTAAGAGTTGATGGCGCTATTATTTCGACGTCTTTCATCGTTGCTGGCTCAACGCAAACTGAACGCATCGCGAGAGTGTAAACAGGCACTTGGTTACCTCGCAACAATACGCGTGCTGCGAGGCGAGGTACGAGGCGAGAGTCTAAACCCGGTAATAGATGATTGCCTCATAGAGGAGAATTTTGCAGAGTTGTCCACATCTGAAGCTCGCTTTTTACTATGGGATAAATTATATCCTGAGATTGGCTTTCACACTGTGAGATATATCTTTAACCAGTGGGAATACGTTATTTACAAACAAAATGTGTATTGATTTGTTAGATTACCTTGACAGTTCGTAAGAAGATGATGTAGAATTCGGTTTTTTTTCTTACAAGTTCACTCAGGTAATGACAGACACGAACTTGAGAACGTAGCGTCGGCGAGGATCGGTATGCGAAGTACAGGGGGCGAAACATAATATGAAAACAGTTCCATTAAAAAGTACGGTGAGCGATATTAATTTGTATATCCAGTCCAGATATAATATAAATTACATTAAATCCCATGGTGAAAAGCGAACTAAATGACGGTTACATTCCCGTTTCCCGCCAAATTATTTTTTTAACCTCAGTATAATAAGAGACAAAGGCATGAAGGCCATACAGCCTAAGTGTTTTATTTCATAACAAATTGATAAAGCAGTCTGTACTCAAGTTTCCTAAATACTACATACAATAAGAAATGCGACGTAATGCAATTTTTAAATATCTAAAAGCAACCCAAAAATCTTTACACTTTCAATATACACTAATTTCACGTTATATATTGTTACCAAATAATATTATTATTATTAACGTAAGAATTTCGAAAAATAAATTTAAAATATTAGTTAATCCAGCTTTTTATGTAATTTCAATATTAAAAATATTTCTTAGCTTTCTCGGTGATTTCTTAGTAATTCAAAGCAGACGCTGGAATTTACAAAGTATGCCCACATACTTTCAATAAAGTTAGGGAGACTATATTTCATATGTTGTAATATAAATATATTAGGTATATATTTTTTACAATTAATGTTTCATATTAAATGTCCAGTAAATTGTTTGTAGCATTCATCAACCCTGATCCCAGTTGGTCATAGCTCGGGAGCCAGAACCCAACACTGCAAGCTGGACCACATTAACCTTTAGACACACCCACTAATGCGGGACGTACACAGCGCTCGTGCAGCTTGTAGCCCACTTTGCTCACAGCCACCACTGTCCCAGGTTCACATCCCTCCACTTCCTGTGAATTATAGTTGTATACTTGTATGTATATGTTTAAAAATATAATTGGTATAATATATGGATTATTATGCATTTGTTTGTATTCATATATATTTGTATAATTTATATGCCTAATTATAATATGTGTATATTTTAAAGAACCTTTTTACTAGAAACGAGGCATTCCATCTCAGTCCTCAGGGATGACAATTCATATCTACATTTTTATTCTTAATCAAGGATAAATGTAGATGTCTATGGGCCACAGTATCAACTTACCAACAGGTGGACTGTGTGCTCGTTTACCATTATTCTATAAAAATAAAATACATCTTAAACCATAGTTTTAGCTCCACCAATCGATAAACTATGTCATGTAACAAGGTGGTCAAACACAGTGAACTCTTATTAAAACTGGAAAGGACAGAACAACATCAGCTAAGCTAATATTAAGATGAATAGCCATCAATATATGACACTAAAGTCGAATCTGTAAACGAAAAAATTATAAATACCTGTTGGAATAGCGCTTCATGTAGATTGGGGTCGAATTTCTCCCTCAACGGTGAAACTGCAACTAACCCGTGACGAGCAAACACCTGCATATTTAAACAATAAATGTTAAATAAAATAAAATAATGCTTAGCAACCGAATATGTCTAAATACGAAGGAGTCCTCTCTCCTGAACTAGGTTATCACCTGTATCTCAGGAAACATGCCTTCCCTAATTCTTAGTTCTAAGTTTATATTCAGTAAAGACATACTATGGATTCATTATTCCTTAATTATTAATATTAGTTTATGGCAGTTACTGCTAGGTAATGTTTAATGTGTGGTGTGTGCGTGTGTGTGTGTGTGTTCGTGGTTGTGTGTGCGATATGTATGCCTTTGTGTGTGGTGGTAACATTAATTCAATAGAGACTTAAATATCTACTACATAACGTAGGTCTCCTTCATATATTGATTCAATTTATTTGTCTTGATTGACGGCTTTGTGGGGCATCGACTCAGCAATGAGTTGCAGCGCTGAGGGTTGCGAGTTCAAATCCCGCACGGAACAAGTACTTGTATGGCCCACAAATAATTGTTCCGGGTTACTTTCCGGGTTAGGCTGTAATGGATGGATGTATAGAAGATAATCTATCAGGAGCACATGAGCTACTGAGGTGAAATTTTCAAATCAACAGTAACATTACAACTATGTCAAAATATCCCCCCCCCCCCCTATGAGGCAATATGTGGGGTGGCTTATTTTCAGCAGTGGACTTTAATAGGCTGTAATGGATGGATGTATAGAAGATAATCTACCAGGAGCACATGACCCACTGAGAGGTGAAAATTTCAAATCAACAGTAACATTACGACTATGGCAAATATTTCTCCTATGAGGCAAACTATGAGGGAGCCCTATGTTCAACAGTGGATTTTAATAGGCTGTAACGGATGGATGTATAGAAGATAATCTACCAGGAGCACATGAGACACTGAGAGGTGAAATTTTCAAATCAACAGTAACATTACAACTTCGGCAAATATCCCCCTTATTAGGCAATATGTGGGATGGCTTATATTCAGCAGTGGACTTTAAAAAGACTGTAACGGAATAGAGGTATTAGGGAGGTGTAGCAAACAAAATTCGAGAAAATATATAATTTCCGAAGGGTGTGGGGGTTATTGGGCACGCGTGGCACCTGTTCGAGCTGCGCGCGCGTGAGGCGCACGCCGTCGTGCAACGAGCGCAGCGCCGCCGCCGCGCCCTCCGCGCTCGACTCGGCGCGCTCCGGGACACTCTCCGCCGCAGCCGACAACGTGTCCGCTACCTGCCCGTCGTACGCGTATCGTAATATATATAAATAATAATAATAAAACAACATCACACATATATAAGCCCCAATTTTACGTGGTAGAGCCATACTGCAGCTATATTAGTGGTAGAGCTTGGTCTCATCAATCAACAGGTTGTGCCAAGCGCAGGTAAGGTTAATACTTAACATAAAATTAGAAGCATGAAATCATAAGTTGTATAAAGCATTACATTTCTGAACTAAGAATTAGTAAACAACTATATAGTTGTTTTTTTTTTTTTTAATAAAATAAGTGTGCCAAGCGTGCACACAAAACCCACCATATTATAAGTGGATGCTTTGGCCCATAGACATAATTATGTATACTTATCCTCGATTAAGAATCAAAATGCAGATTACTACGTGGTAGAGCCATGCTGCAGCTATATTAGTAGTATAGTTGTAGCACGAATGGGTCGGCTCGACCGGGCAAGGACCACGCTCTCACAGAATACCAGCTTAAAATAGCAACTTAACGCTGCTGAGTTTCGTATGGTGAGTGTAGAAAACCAAAGGCCTTTTTTACTGGAAATGAGGCATTCCATCTTAGTTCTCACGGGTAACAATGCATCTGCATTTTGTTTCATGTAGATGTCCATGAGCCACAGCAACCACTTACCATCAGGTGGACTGTGTACTCGTTTGTCACCCTTATTCTATAAAAACACAAAATCTAACATGAGACTTACAAGTCTCAGACCAACATGAGTCCTATGCCAATATGAGACCTATATGTCTCAGACCAACTTGACACATATCAAGTCCCAGACCAAAACGGATAGATATTTAAAATTAAAATAATTGTTAAATAAAACTAAACCGAATAAAAATACTCAGTCATGTGTATAATAAGTCTTGAAATTATTGTATTGTCATCAGTTCTTAATAAGTCTGCAAAATTTCACATAATTAAGTTTCTTTTTATAGGATAGGGTGACAAATGAGCACACAGTCCACCTGATGTGTAAGTAGTTGCTGTGTGCTGTTGTCATCTGTAAGGACTGAAATGGAATGCCTGTTTTCCAGTAAAAAGGGTCTCCAGTTCTCTACACTCACCATACGAAACACAGACAGTGTTAAGCTGCTATTTTACACTGGTATTCTGTGAGAGCGTGGTCCTTTCCCGGTCGAACCGACCCATTCGTGCAGCATGGCTTTACCACGTTTAAGATGACTGGAAGCAAGGTTCTTTTAAAAATAGAATAAGGATGACAAACAAGAACACAGTTCACCTGTTGGTAAGTGGATACTGTGGCCCGTAGACATCTATATCTACCCTCAATCAAAATTCAAAATGCAGTAGACTGTCACCCCTGAGGACAAAGATTGAATGCCTCGTTTCCAGTAAAAAGTCTCCGGTTCTCTACGCTCATCATACGAAACACATGTCTTGCTAATAATAATAACCTTTTAAAATATCCTCTTGCAAACTGCGATAACTTTAGAGACCATACATGATATATGACCTCACAACACTAGAGTGCTGCAGACAGAGAGGTAGTCTGATTAAAACATGCAAAATACTGACAGACTTTGGTGGAGGCCAAATTTTGTATATTTTCTGGGATTTGGTGTTTATTATAATTGAGAAGTCAAAGTTAATAAATTTTTTTTAATTTTAGTCTTAGAGACTTTAAGGTTTTAAATCGAAGATTGCTCTTATGGCTCTCTTTCTGCAAAATAAATATAATTTTAGTATCAGTTACACATCCCCATACTAAAATACTATGGTATTATAGAATGGGGGTGTGCGACATTATGCTGTGGAAATAGCTAAAATAAACTAGTCTAGCTGTTTCAACGCTGTTAAGATTTCTAATCTTTTTTACAGCATACACTGCAGTGCTAAGCCTGCTTGCTAATTTAGATTTAGATATATAATATATATATATATATATATATATATATATATATATATATATATATATATATAGCTTTCACATACATCGAGGAGATCCTTGCAGAAACTCTGTATGGCAAAAGACTTTGCGTCCTCGACCTGTTTCATCATACGACGTCGGATATTCTCACCGTCAGCTAGAGCCCGCTTGTATTTGTCCTGCAATGATACAAAATAATTTCAATTATTCGGCCAGCTCTGTGGCGCGGTGGCTTAGTATTGAGTTGCGGCACCGAGGGCGACCGCGAGTTCGAATCTCATACGACACAAGTATTTGTGTGGCTTACAAATAATTGTTTCACAAATGTTTGTAAACTGCCTCCAGAGAAAATCCTACAAAGAGCCCACCCAATGGAAAGTGGATGCTGTGACCCATAGACATCTAAATGTATCCCCAATTAACAATCAAAATGCAGATGCGTTGTCAACCCTGAGGATTAAGATGGAATGCCTTGTTTCCAGTACGAGCTTGGGGTTCGAGACAATTAAAAGTGTACAGGTTCTCTCTATTACCAAGTTTAAATGTTTTATTAAGCTGAAACTGTATAAAAAGGGTTATTATAGTATATTTGTATTATATTGTATTATATATATTTGTCTGAGCTGACCCATTCGTGCCTTAACCATAATATAAGTTACAGCATGGCATGACGTAAATTTAATGTTTGATAAATAGTTAACTATAATTTTTAAACTGTGAAATGGCTGCTTAAGTGAATTCATTATCTATAGCATATCACACAAAACATATCTAAGAAAGATTCATGTCCAACTGTTGACTCTTTATATGATTAAGAGGATGTGTTGAGATGTAGTGACAAAAATTGAGAAAGGTATGCTGAGACGGTTTGGCCATGTCGAGAGATTAATGAAGAACGATTGACGAAAAAAGTGTATAAGGCGAGTGTGAATGAAAGTAAGGAACAAGTATGTAAGGATCATAGCAAGTGGAAAGAAGTGGTCTCTGTCTACTCCTATAGGAAAGAGGCGTGATTATATGTATGTATGATATATAATTATTCAATCCAGGCTTGTTTAAAGCCCTTGGCAGTCAAATTCTATAACCAGGTGGCATTTTTGTGGACAATTTAAAATTAATCAGACATGTGCGCTAACAAGACATGCAAAGCTGAATGAGGTATGGACTGAACTGAAAATCAATGCATACTGCATACACTTAGGATGGTTCATTTCAAGGTTATTGTTAGTTTGACAAAACGAAATTATGGAGGATGAATAATGACACAAGCTCTTTGTCTATCAGTTTAGTGTTGTATTTACAACTGACTCATATAGGCAGTCACACATTATACTTTTCTACCGACTTCAAAAAGGAGACGGTACTCAATTCGACTGCATGTTTATTTTATGTGTGTTACCTCATAACTTTTTACTGGGTGAACCGATTTCGATGATTCTTTTTTATTTGAAAGCTAGTGTTTCACATGTGGTCCCATATTATCAAGGTCTGACCAATAGTTTTTGAGTTATTCTTAATAATTTATATTGAAGTCGGTTGTACAACATTTTTAACTTTAAATTATATAGATGAACAACTAATTCTTACTTCATAATCCTTAGCTTGCTGTTTGAGTGTTGTAACCTCTATACTGAGGCTTTCAATTTGTTTGTGACACTCCTCCAAAGTTGTCGGCAGTTGTTTATCCCCTGATGCATCTTCTGCTGCCTTCTCTTCAGCGCTGTAACCTCGAACCGATGATCTACATATGTTACAATATTTATTATTACAAAAAATCACAAACAATCAGTTGATCAAAAATTAGCAGATCCTTTTAGCCGCTCTACTGCATTCAGAAGTTTTAAATATAATACAACAAAGTGTTCAAACAACCTTTCCCTCCCTTCCGTAGCCTTACAAAAATTAACAGTTTTAAAGACAAGTATAAAGTACTGCTACTTAATGAACAAAAAATGTTTGGTTAATATGGTTGTAGTATCTAGGTACTAAGTCTAACGGATTAGTAAGCTGAAGTGGCAACAGGCCGGCCATATACCTCGAAGAACCGACAACCGATGGGGAAAAAAGGTTCCCGAGTGACGGCCTCGTACAGGCGGACGAAGTGTAGGGCGTCCCCCCACTAGATGGAATGACGACCTGGTAAGACATGCAGGAAGTTGATGGATGCAGGTGGCTCAGGACCGTGCTTTGTGGCATTCCGTGGGGGAGGCCTGTTTTCAGCAGCAGACTTGTGTTGATATATGGCCGGCCCACTGCCACTTCAGCTTACTAATCCGTTGGGCTATGTCGGTTACTCTGGTTCTACTGCGGATATCCTCATTTCTAAGTTTATCACGCAGAGAAACCCCGAGCATAGAATGATGATCTAGGTATAAATAATTTAAAACAATTCTTTCTAAATTTAACGATTAATGAATTCACTAGTATTTTAACTGTGTTTCATAGACAACGAGCAGTTTGGCACAACTTTAATTTTGTACCAAATCCTATAGCCTATATTTTTTTAGAAATCTTTATACAAATTGTGTATTTATTTAGCTTAGTTTTTGTTAATATTTGGCCTACTATTACCAGGCCTGTCTGACTCCGCGCTTTAGGCATGAAAATATACCTACGCTGCGTGGCCCCAGTTTATGTTAGTATATATATGGAAGCGAGATGGAATAAAATCCATCTCCCTAGCACTTTTTCTTAGCTTGTTACGAAAGAAATATTATTTTATTTTAAATGACGCTACATTTTAATAGACGCCAGTAATTAATTTATTTGCATTTGTTAATCAATAATATAATATGTTTATCAATAATAATATACTACGAAAGGAACTACATTCCAACAGAGTGTTCCACGACACACATGAATGATTTTTTTTGCATATAATTACTTGTGCTGCATGCTTAACTGGAATAAACGCATTTCTTTCTTTCTAGAAGGGCCGTGGTAGTTCAGAGGCTAAGCATTTGCTGTAAATTTTACGTTGGTTTACAAGCAACCTGGGTAAAGGAGGCAAGAGATACGTGCCAAATGAAAGTCTGTAATTATCAAGAAGATGCTGATGCCAATCTCCTGTTTCTTTTGCAGCTCTCTACTCTCTTACATACATAATTGTTAAAAAACCGGCCAAGTGCGAGTAGGACTTGCATGTGAAGGGTTCCGTACTATCGTAATACACATTTATAGTAGGGGAGCCCCTTTTAAATTTTATTATTTGTTGTTATAGAGGCAACAGAAATACAACATTCTGTGACAATTTCAACTGTCTACCTATTACGGATAATGAAATAAAGCCTGCTGGCAGACAGACAGATAGTTGGCAGTAAAGCCCAACCTCTCACGCTTCTCATTATAGGTGTGCAAAAAGGTTTGGTAAAAGAATCACCACAGACAAGTCATAAGCACAGATTACTAAATAGTTTACTAAAACAGATACATCACTCCCATACAAAAGCGAAAATACCTACGCTATAATAGCCTACAAAATCTTAATAATAATATCTGCTGTTTGCAGCGAGAAGAAAATGTACCATAAGTATGCGCAAAAAGAGTTGAGATTGTGTTGACCGCCGTGCGACTCACGTGCAAGCGTGTTATCGCACGAATGCGCTAGGGTTGTACCTATGATGATTATTGTAATAAAACGAATCTTGCGAAATAACCATATCTTTTATTTGTCAATCAAATACGTATGTTTGAGTTTTATAAAATGATTTATACATTCTTTTCCTTTTCTGAATTCTCGGTTATTAAATCTTATCGTTGAAAATATTCTAAATGGCGTAAATAATTTTAATAAATAATCATGAGGAAAACAGGAGCAAAGTGGAGGAAAATGGTTTGTAAAATTTGTAACATGCTGCTGCCAGGCCGATTCATTATAACGTTGTCAAAATTATTTAAGAAGGCTTTTTTGACTATGACACCCATCAACTGTACAATAATTACGTGGTTTCGGCATTTCGATGGGTAAGCGCAGGAAACGTGCGCGGTGCGAGAGCTCAGGCGGGCTTGCGGCGGCCCTATGCCGGTTGTATCGTGGGCGATACACAGAACGGTAGGCATATAACGCAGGGCCTTGAGCGAGTGACGGAGGTCTGTCATAGGTTCTTGTTTTTTTTTTCTAATTTGGCAACTACCAATGGATATCACGAAAGTCACACAGTATATTAAACTAGTTTCCATTTCTGTAGATAGGCTTACTTCTCTTCTCTACATAGTATTAAAAAAAAGTCAGTTCCCGCTGTCTGTATGTTTAGATCCTTTAAACTACAGAACAGATTTTGATTAAATTTTTTGTGTTTGAATGGGTCCCTAGATGGTTTAAATTCACATTTTGACCCATTAGGTGGTGCTGTTCTCGAGATCCGGAAATCGCTTGGGCAAATCGTCAGGGCAGATCACTAGTAACTCTATGTTTTACAAAGTTGCAAGTTATTTTCAGATAAAATAAAATACAGTTTTAAAAGTTCTTCTAATAACAACAGTACACTTTGTATAATTGTATCATATGTACAAACTAAAATCTCATCTTTTCTATTTTCTGCCGACTTCCAAAAAGGGGACGGTACTCAATTCAACACATATGTTTTTTTTATGTGTGTTACCTCATAACTTTTTACTGGGTGAAACGATTGCGATGATTCTTTTTTATTTGAAAGCTTGTACTTCTCGTGTGGTCCCATATGAATTTGATCAAGGTCAGACCAATAGTTTTTGAGTTATTTGAGTTATTCTTAATAACTTATATTGAAGTCGGCTGTACAAAATTTTTAATTTTAAATTATTCTATTTTCAACTGACTTCAAAAAATGAGGAGGTTCTCAGTTCGACTGTATATTTTTTTTGCTTTTATTTTTATGGGATAAGGGTGACAAATGAGCTCACAGTCTACCTATTGGTTAGTGGTTACTGTGGCCCATAGACATTTACATCTATCCTCAATTATGAATCAAAATGCAGATGCGTTATCACCCGTGAGGACTAAGATGGATTGCCTCGTTTTCAGTAAAATGGGTCTCCGGTTCTCTACACTCACCATACGAAACACAGCAATGTGAGGCTGCTATTTTACACTGGTATTCTGTGAGAGCGTGGTCCTTCCCCTGTCAAGCCAACCCATTCATGCTACAACTATACTACTAATATAGCTGCAGCATAGCTCTGCCACATAAAATAACTTTTTTCTAGGTGAACCAATTTCAATGACTCTTTTTTTTATATGAAAGCTGGTGCTTCTCATGTGGTCCCATATAAAATTGATCAAGATCTGACCAGTAGTTTTTCAGTTATCCTTAATAATGAATATTTAATTGACTTTGACTACATTGATGATGTTCTCATTTTATTTATATTATAGACAAAATTTTTAATTTTAACACTTGTCTCATACTAGTTTTCTCATATTTCTATGAATCATCTTAGCCGAAATACTGTTTGCGATTTTAATATGTGGCGGCGCTGTCGTCGCGCCACAAGCGAAACACATCGAAGCCTAGATCGCGCTATCAAAGTTCCGAAATTAAAGCAGCATATATAGAATAGCTCCGAACTACCAATCGGAGCGTTGGCCGCTCCCCGGGCAGAACACCTTGCCCGCCGGGAGATCTCCCCTTTTCCTTCCACCCGCTACAGTGGTGACCCCAACGTGATATGAACATGCAACCAGTAACCTTCGGAAATTACACCTTCAAACATTCATCATCCTTAAGTACCCCATTCATTCGCTCCCGAGCAGACATTGTCTGCAGTCTTCACATTCTGCAAGCCATCTAGCTTTACAAAAGGTTCATCGCAGCACTGGAATAATAATGCTACCTGTTCCTTCAAGCTACTCTCTGCGCTACAGTGTTCGGCAAGGCTCTGAGCCTTACTGCTCGCCTCTGCTTCACGGCACTCTTGCAGATTACTTGCCTTCTTCTCAACTCACAGCAGACTACAAGGCAATCCCTGGCACTTGCTCCGGCTCATCGTTCTCACCGGCATCGCTTGCAAGTGCGTAGTACGGCATGCATTACACACCGGCATATCATTCGCACCGGCGTCACTTGCCCTTACGCACACAGCATGCATTCCCCACCGGCATTTAAGGACGCACCGGCAATCGGACTGCACTATCGACCTCCAGTCTGAGCAGGGGGGTGATGTGGCGGCGCTGTCGTCGTGCCACAAGCTAAACACATCAAAGCCTAAATCGCGCTATCAAAGTTCCGAAATTAAAGCAGTATATATGGAATAGCTCTGAACTACCAATCGGAGCGTTGGCCGCTCCCCGGGCAGAACACCTTGACCGGGGAGCACCACCTGCTACAAATATGTAAATTTCTATTACTGTAATATATGATATTCTCAATATTCTACTTAATTTCAGTCACATTCCATTTGAATATAAGGGAAATCTTAAACTATGCAATTTTGGGATGGAACTAACTTGGGACAAGAAGTAAATCCTAGTATGAGGCTAAATTAAAACTTCCATCTAACGCTGAGAAATAAATATGATGAAAATGAATCTGGTACTTTGAATAAAAGTGAACAAAAATGAAGTAAACTGATTTCAGCAAAAATAATAAGATATGAGAGTACCATGATGAAATAATGTAACATATTGAACGCTAATAAAAATTGCATTACTCATTACAAAATAAGCGTATTAAACCAATGTAACATATTTTTATAATACTAATGAAATATATTATCTATATTTTACACATTTTTAGAAAATCCTAGATTGTACAAGCTTGGTTGCGCAATGGTGTTTACCTGTAAATATTCCCTCGCAATGTTTTTAGACTCGAATCTGTAACATACTTCACTAATCTACCCACTGAAAACACTTTTAATGAGCCCATTTTCTTTCTAGTGCTCTAATTTTCAAGAAAGTTATTTCAATTATAAAGTAAATTATTATAAGATAGGTTATGTGTCTAATCCACTATTATCCCAATCCCAATTATGAACAGCACCGCCTAAGGGTATCATAGATATTTTTTTTTTTGGAGTTTATGGCCTGGCATCTAGACCTTTAGGCCAAGTCTTGAGTATTTTTATTCGGTTTATTATAATTTCCCCACTGTATTTTTGATGAATTTATATAGAGGCACGTAATAGGATCTATTTTTTAACATATCACTCAGGCGGCGGGAGGGATCTTGCACTGTCACTTGATTTTGCACTATGTCACTAATTTCACTGACAAGAATCAATCTGTCAAATGAAAAGCACTCACATGTAAATATGAAATGTTCGATATCACCAACAGAATTATTGCAGAAGGTGCAGTAACTGCTCTCCACTATGCCCAATCGAGCCAGGTGGGCCGGGACGGTGGAGTGACCAAAGCGCAGTCTATTTATAGTGGTAACAAAGTCCCGACTGGCCATTTTCAGTTTGTTATACCATGGTGCTACAGGTAGTTTTTCTTGAACAGTTCCATACCATTTACCCTTCTGTTCTTGATCTTGTTTCCAAAATTCGACCCATAAGCTATTGACCTGGTTGTCAATAGATTGATAACAGTCGGTCAAAGGTACTTTTACTATGGAGCTAACATCCAACATGTTGGTTCCATCACGTGCAATTTTATCTACTATCTCATTTCCTGTTATGCCCCTATGTGATGGAATCCACATGAAAGAGACCTGTATACCCTTTTTTGCATAACTAAATAACAATTTTTTAATATTATACAAAATATAGTTTTTTTTAAAGTCAAATCTGAGATTAGTTAAACTTTGGACCATACTTAAACTGTCTGTTAAAATTAAAAAATTATTAAAACTATTTATATGTGCAATCCTCTTCAGGGCCTCGAGGGCCGCATATACCTCTGCAGTGAAAACACTGCATTTAGGGTCCAGAAGAAAACTTTGACCAAACTTGCATTGTGGATCATAAACGGCACTGCGCACAAAGAGCTCACTTTTGCTACCATCTGTATACAAAGTATAGTAGTTATTGTCGGAAATAAAACTTAATAATTCACAATTATTAAAAAAATTTTTGGTAACAATATTGGTCTCAAATATAATACAGGAATATGGGTATGTGTAGCATGTCCACTTTGATTGTTTAATTACATTTTTAAAATCTTCATTCATTTGCTGTACAATGAGAGGCAAAACTGGAAAATAACCTTGTAAAAGCTCACCTCCCGAAGTCTGCTGGACCGAGCATTGTAAAGGAAAAGGTACTATTTTTTTGAGAACATTATCATTACCAGATACCAGCTTTAGTAAATATCTCTCTATTAGCAGAAGTCTTCTAAGACACAGTGGCATTATTTTGGTTTCAACTTCCATAGCTCGTATGGGAGTTGAACACATAGCCCCAGAAATAATTCGCAGAGCTTTGTTTTGAATTATGTCTAGTTTTTTTACACAACTACTATTTGAGTAGGCTAAACAACTGTAGTCGAAATGGCTTCTGACTATAGATTTATATAGCATACTTAAAACTTTGGGGTCTGCACCCCAAGTCACACCAGCTAAACATCTTATAATATTTAAGCCCTTAAGAGAGTTAGTTATAATGTGATTGATGTGTAAATTAAAACAAAGTTTGTTATCAATGACAACACCCAGGAATTTATGGTTAGATACAACTGAAATTGGATGATTATTGTAGAGTATGCCATTAGAGGGAAAATCTTTACTAAAAATCATGGCCTTGCTTTTGTTAGGGTTAATCTGTAGAGCCAACTTGTCATTATAATATATGTACAATTGCTCTAAAGCATTATTTATACTATTTACAGCTCTATCTACATTATGGTCTGTACAATATATTACAAGATCATCCGCAAATTGTAAAATATTTACACCTTCTATATTTACAAAATTAAGAATTTGACTAGTGTATATGTTGTACAACAATGGAGATAATGTAGCCCCCTGCATTGTACCTTTGGAGACCCTTCTGGGACCATGGAGAATATTATTATGCCTTATATACAAAGTTCTATCTATTAAAAAATTAAATAACCATTGGCAAAGTATGCCTGGTATACCAATGTCAGAAAGAACTTGAACCAAAATGCCAGGATCTACATTATCAAACGCACCTTCAATATCCAGAAAAACACAAACACTGGACTTATTATTATTATTGGCATATTTCAGATCTGACAAGAGAGAGATGAAGCTGTCAGCACAACTTCTGCCTCTCCGGAAGCCATATTGAACATGTGGAATGATGTTGTTCGCCTCTACATAACACTCAAGACGCATCTTTAACATGTTTTCATTAAGCTTTCCAACACAAGATGACAAAGATATAGGACGATATGAATTAGGATCTTCAGGTGGCTTGTCAGGTTTAAGTAGAGGGATTACACACTGTGTTTTCCAAGATTCAGGAATTTTTTTTAAGTGCCAAAGAGCATTAAGATTAGCTAATAGTTTCTTTTGTACGGACTGATTTAGGTTTTTGATCAAAATGTATGGACAATTATCTAAACCAGGGGTTGTGTTTCGTCTGGATTGTAAACTTGTACAAAACTCACTCCAAGTAAAGGGTTCTATGAGGAAACTGGACTTCTGAAGACTATTATTAATTTGAAAATAACTTTCTAGATTATCAATAACCCTACATCCATTTCGAGATAATTTGTCTAAAAGAGGGACTACAAATTCGTCTTTATATGTTCTATTATTGCATTTTATTCGTTTAAATAACTTGATGTATTTCCAAATAATACTAACAGGTGTAGTTCTGTTAAAAGTATTACAAATGTTAGCCCAACCATTGCGTTTATGTTCTGAAATAGTCTTTTTCTTAACAGCATTAAGTCTTTTGTAATTAATGTAATTATCAATGGTTGGATCTCTTCTGTACAGTTTTAAAGCTTCATAAGTTTTAATAACACTCTGTTCACATGTGTCACTCCACCAAGGTGCTGGAGGTTTGCAACGATAGTTGTTTGCTTTGACAAACTTTGGCACAGTATCTCTCCTAAGTGTATCAAGCCTTTCAATAAATTCATCATATGACTGTAATGGATTCTCATTATTAACTTCAAAATTAGAAAAGGCAGTTATAGACAGCTCATTGTATTTTGTCCAGTCTGTCTTGTTGTATAGGAATTTTTCAATGGGAGGATTAATTTGGTATCTATCAACTGACAATGAAACACGAGTAAGCGTAGGAAAATGATAGCTCCCCATACAATCATCATGCACCCACCATTCGCATAGTGGAGTGATTGAAGCACTACAAAAGCTGACATCAATAGCCGATGGATTTCGGTTAGGATAATTAATAGTAGTGAAGCTACCATTGTTGAGGACACATAGATCAAATTCATCAATTAAATCGTATAACTGATGACCCCGACTTTTCGTGGTCATACACCCAAATGCCACATGGTGAGCGTTGAAATCTCCAGCCACATATATTGGCTTAGGCAAATCTCTAATTATATCACGCAGTTTACTTATTCTGAAGTTACCATTCGATGGAGGGCAGTATACACATAAAATCGTTAATTGTTTACCACTTACATATAACATGTCTGAATGTCTTGGTAAAATCTGGTTTGAATAATATTATATTTAAAATACGGTTTGATCAAAATTGCTACTCCACCATGCTCATTTTGGGCATTATGATAGTGGAAATTATATCCCGAAATGTTAAAATGCTGAGTATCTTTCAGCCAAGTTTCATTGAGTAGACAGATATCAACATTTTGCTCATCTAAAAATTTAGACAATAAGGATTTTTTCCTATGTATACTTTGAATATTGTACTGAGCTATACATAACTGATGTATGTTCTGTACTGTACTGTCCATTATTGTGACAGATTTTTTAAAAGTAAGTCTTTAATGAACAGTGTAGTCACAGGTTCATTATCTGTTTTATTACCTAATTCGACTAAAGTTTGGACCATTGCCATCAAAATATTCTTATTGTTTGCAATTTGAGCCTTAAGTTGAGTTTGGTTCAAGTTGGGTTCAGGCACTGTTTTATTTACATTATTTACAATTTTTACATTTTTATTTAATTTATGTACATTTTGGTTTATTGATGGTAGGGTCTTAACAATGCTGCTCGACTGTGCAGGTAAAGACGGAAAATCAGATGACTTAATTGTATTAGCTACAGAGGCATAAGTAATTTTACCCTTTTTTTCAAGTATTTTTTTCATTTTTATTGGGCAAGATATGGAAATGGCCAGGTGGGGACCACTGCAATTGACACAACACAGGTTTTCTTTTTTATCACAGTCTCTGAAATTATGTTCCCCAGCACATATCGAGCAACGTTGTTTACCATTACAAATTTTCGCAGGGTGGTTGAACTTGAAGCACCGGAAGCATTGTTGTAACGGTGGGACATATTCAAACACCCTGAACGAAAATAGGTCATATTGGATGTTGTCGGGCAGAACATTTGATAGGAAAGTTATACTGACCGTCTCGAGACCTACAGTACTTTGACCGACTTTTTTCGTGAATCTTCTCACTGAAATAATTTCATAAATCGAAGACAGTTTCGTATATAATTCCTTGTTCGAAATGTTGGTAGGCACATATCGGATGATTCCAGTTTTTTCTATCTGCGCTGCAGGAATATGCGCCTTCAAGTTGTGCTTTGTTAAAAAGTCTGTATTTGTGATGAAATTATTTGCAGTGTTGTATTGTTTAAAAACAACCGCAATTTTGTTGGCATTGACTCTATGTAAAGCTACCACACCTTTCACCTCCGAAGTAAAAATATGATTTAAGTAAACTGGGCTTTTATTTCCAAGTTTAACCTGTTTGTCCTGGCTTTCAACAAAAACTTTGAAGTCCGTATTTGTACAATGTTCAGGATAAAGTCTCAGATAACCTGGCTTAAAAAACGGAATA